GTCGCCCGCCAGCCCGCCGGCCTGCGCAGGAGACGCTCTTGCACTTTCGGGGGGATTTAAACATCCCCCCCGAAATTTTTTTAAACTTTTTGTATTTTTGTGCACACGTGGGGACTGGCCCACGTGTGCACAAACCTCCCCCGGCCCCCCAGCTGCCCCCTCCGTGCTGATTTAAGTATCCGCACGGAGGGGGCAACTTGGCTATTAGATATATAGATGATGCCTCATGAGCTCAGTACTTGGAAAACAAGAAGCTAGAAGACAGTCCCCCACCTGCAGGGTATCTGTCTTAACAGAGCCAGGAGCTTGATTCCATATGGATTTCCCCTGTTAGAAATCATAGCTGTTGGAATAAGGCTTTATTCTTTTCAGTACCAGATGCTAGGAACAAGCAATGCCATACTTTCAGGTGGATTTCATTGGTCACTGTTCCAGCAAGGTAGCTTTTATGGGACCTTGCTAATTATGATGCCAGTTTGGTGTAGTGGTTAAGTGCGGAGACTCGAATCTGGGAGAACCGGGTTTGATTCCCCACTCCTCCACTTGCACCTGGCTGGATGACCTTGGGCAAGCCATAATTCTGATAAGAGCTGTTCTTGAAAAAGAGCAGTTTCTGTCAAGAGCTCTCTCAGCCCCACCTACCTCACAGGGTGTCTGTTGCGGGGAGAGGAAGGGAAAAGGAGTTTGTAAGCCGCTCTGAGACACCTTTGGGTAGTGAAGGGTGGGGTATAAATCCAATCTCTTCTTCTTGTGGGGAGGTGAAGGGAAAGGAGTTTGTAAGCCACTCGGGCAGGGTATAAATCCAATCTCTTCTTCTTATATAGTGCTTTCAAGTATTCAGAATGCTTTGTGCATATGTTCTCCTTATAACCACACTGTTACCTAGGTGAATCTTTTTCGTGGATTTACAGAGGTGGGAAGGAAAAGTGGGTGCTGAGGCTGAGAGTGTGGAGCTTGCTGAAGCCTACCTAGTTTGTCCCTGATTCATAGCTCAGTCTCTTAACTCCTGTGCTACACCAGCCCTCACTTGAGCAATAAAATCCTGAACTGTATTGCAGAGCAATAAAATCCTGAACTATATTGCAGGCACAGTTAGCAACAACTTTCCCCGTGAAGAGAAAGATGCATACTGTTTGAAGAAAATGTGTTCTTTGTTATGGGTGAAATAGTGTGCCAAAGTGTTTTAGCCAGGCTTAGCTTGGAGTATTTCTCTCATCTGTAATTTCAGTTAAAGTTTAACTCTCTGGGTTAAGTATTTCAGGGGTTGTTTGCATTTTTATTACAAAGGCCCATGTTGTTAGTTATAGGGAACCAGAAGACCTTAACAGTTAACAGAAGAAGGAAGATGATGTCCTTGGATGAGATGCAGAAGACAGTAAGCAACCCGGTAACTATTTCTTGATAATTTTGTTCCTTGTAGACACCAGTAAACCTTTACCAATAAATTTTATCTTAAGAATCCGCTTAGACATGTGAGATTCATGAAACGATAACTGTCAAAAATCTGAATAACAGCCATGCCTTTCAGTGAGCAGGCCTTTGCTTGTATCTAATAGTACCTTTTCAGTAGTGGCACCTCACCAGTAGAGTGCCCTCCCCCTTGAGGCTTCGTTGGGGCCTACCTGACTCTCTTGTGCCACCCCCAAATTTTCTTTCCCCCCAGGGTTTTAACTAAGGGGTTTGATCTTTTAAAATTGCTTGTACAGCCTGCTTCTAATCTGAGAACTGTTTTACAAGGATCCTTTTAGGCTGCTGTTTTTATGCTCCGACTGGCTTTTTAATGGTTTATTAATTTTAATGATTTTTGTGGCTTTTATGATTTTGTCATGTTTGATGACAAACTTAGTGAGCCATTTTCAGCAGGTTTCAAGAGGCAGCATATGCATTTTCCATACAAATAAATAGTATAGTTAGGTATAAAATGAGTGTTTCAGTCTCTCTTTGGATATACATTGAGCAGAAACAGGCTGCATCTGTACTATGTATGTGAGTGTGTTCTGGTATTAACCTTTAAGGCCCTAAATGGGCAGGGACTGTACAGGATTAGCCCACCCAGGCCAGTCCAGGGATGGGAGGGAATCCTGTACTTTTTCAGTACATTAAACAACAAACCACGAGATGGTCTATACCCTTTCTGGTTTCAGAACAATGTGCCACCAGAACCTCTTTTCACTAGTCCCTGCCTTTCCTAAGGGAGAGATTCCAAACCCTTAGTTAGCATCTGGGATTTAACACACTAGCAACTCACTCTAGAGATGCTCACTTTTTACCAAGGTAGCATATGGGGTGAGCGTTTAGGCCACAGGATTTAGGCTTGGAACTCAGGTACAACATCAGAGACCATTTAGAAATAAGAATAATTTTTATTCAGTACAGAGCATAACACAGACTACCAGAGTTTACCAAAATAACAAGCCTAAGGTGATTTGCCTTAACTACACAGTAAAAGATACATATTTACCAAGTTCAGGAACATCCAAACAGTCCAAGGGATTTTGAAGGAAAAATCCATCTTTGCTCAACCATGTGGTCCAATTCACAAAGTAGTTCTTTGTCTCTCATGAGACAGCATTTCTAGGTGCCATAAAACAAGCAAAGAGAGCAGGAGCAGAGACTCTCATTGGGATCAACCAATTATAATCCAATTCCAATGGGAGTGCCCAATTGTCGGTTGTCATGGCTACGTGTGGGGATAGGCTAGAAGTTTGACAACTCCTCCTGCAGTCAGGTGACCCAAACTCCAGCTACTTCATTTAGTACGTGACTTGTCGCATGTGGGGCCAGAAAGTGTAGCCATGAGGTCTGGCTTTTGGCATGAAAGTGTGAAAGAATGTGGGTTTATGGCATGGCCATTGAGGCCATTTGGCTTCAACAGGAAGCAAGACACAGCATGTTATCAGAAAGACATTACAGGAGAAGGCAAGAGACTTTTAGAAATCAATATTTCTGTACAGGGACCCATGTATTTTCGGGACTGCCTCTCCTGGTATACCCCCCAAAGAACACTGCATTCTGATTATAAGAACCAATTGGTGATCCCTGGCCCAAGAAACATCTGTCTGTCCTCAACTAGAGCCAGGGTGTTTTTAGCTCTGGCTCCAGCTGGGTAGAACTCTCTGCCATGTAACATCCATACCCTGCGGGACCTAATGCAGTTCTGCGGGGCCTGCAGGACAGAGATATTCTGCCAGGCGTTTGGTTGAGGACAGCGATGGTTTCCATCTGCTCTGGCACTCCTGTTCCCTGCCCTCCCCCTGTGGGGTAGAAGCACAATCTGATGTAGTTTTTCTGCCATCTAATCAGGATGTTTGTTGTATTTTATTGTATCAACTGTGTATTTTAATCTATGAATGTGTTTTTGCTCTGCAGGGGAGGGCGGTCTAGAAATTTAATTTAATAAATAAATATATGGAAAACCATTCCTGTTTGTAAATACACCTCCTGGATGCTTTAAGACTGTATACAGACACACTCAGACACATAGATGGTTTCCCCATGCATCCTTAGCTCAGAGTTTCTTTGAACTAGCAACACTGACACGTTGGGCTTAATGGTGAGAGAGCTCCTCCTCCCAAACTTTACTTCTTGCAATTTAAACTTATTTCTTTTGGTTACTGTAATATGCAAAAGGTTAATAATACAAATACAATGCAATAATAACATGTGAAAGGTTAATGACACTTTCCCCTCATGCACAAGTCATAATGACTCTTTTTCCTTTTCCTTTTATAGGTTATTCCATACACTGGGACTATCCTTGGTGGCCTTCTGCCCCTAGAGCTAGTGGTAGTGCGTGGGTTTGTTCCAGAAGATTCAGATAGGTACGGGTTAAATAGATAACTTCGAGAGAATCATCTTGTGGTGGATGTTGCAGGCAAAGAAGTAACAGATGTGCATATTTGATTTTGCTTGTTTTTATGGGAACTATGTATGTCTTTCTGTTACAGAATTAAGACTTTTGGGAAGCATTTATACTTGATTTACTACTGCACAGAACCACAGATTCTGTGATGGAAAATAGTCCTTGTGTGGAATCAGTCCTCAGCCTTAATTTCAAGTGCTTATGACTTGGAAGGGGAATTGGTTTTAGCTTTCAAGGGGATTGTTTCATTATAATTTCTACTTCACACGTGAACACGAAGAATTGATATACAAGAGCTTTGACTTGCATGGCATTCCATGTGGAGATGTGTGTGTGTTTCAAAATGGTGACAAGAATTCTGAAAATGTTCTGTTGTTCTGGAACTGCTGTAGCTCAGATGAACTAATATTCTTTTAATAACTCATTAGGTCTCTGTTAGGGACAATGCATGTGAAGATTTTTTTTTTAAATTGCCAAACCAGTCCTTTTAATCTTCAGGGGTGGAAACAGTAGAATTTAGGTTTAATGTACCCACATATTTTCCTGTGGGTGCCCAGAATGCCCAAACAATGACATTACCCTCATGAGGCAGGTAGAGACCTGGTATTACACAGGACTTTTTTTGTAGAAAAAGCCCAGGAGGAACTCATTAGAATAATAGGCCACACCCAACAGCAGAAACCCATTAGCATATTAGACCACACCTTGACAGCACAGCTCATTAGCATATCAGGCCACACCCCATGCCTTCCCTTGGCTGGCCTGGGCCCCCCGCAGCTGCGGGGAGCCCGGGCAAGCCGGCCCTTGGACAGGCTGGGGAAGTAAATGCCTCCCCAATCCTTCCAGCCCCCCCCGGCCCGCCCACCTCAGAGTCGCCAGGGGGTTGCTCTCCAGGCCTTCCCTCTGTAGCCACACATGGAGAGCTTTTGGCTGTAGTGGGTGTGGCCAACTCTGAAGCCAGCCGGAACTCCGTTCCTGTGCGTTCCTGCTCAAAAATAGCCCTGGATATTGGACATGGAATCTGGAGCAAGCATGGGAAGCAGTCATGAAGTTGCCCATACCTGCCTTGGATGGTCAGAATTGTTTTGCTGCTCTTGCCCAGTGAGCTGAATTGACCAATCTCTTTCAATTTTCTGGAAGGTTCCAGGTAGACTTCCAGTGTGGGAACAGCGCGGAACCTCGTGCTGATGTCGCCTTTCATTTCAACCCTCGGTTTAAGAAATCTGGTTGCATTGTTTGCAATACCCTGCAGCAAGAAAGATGGGGCTGGGAAGAGATCACTTATGAAATGCCTTTTGAAAAAGGAAAGTCGTTTGAGATTCTTTTTATGGTTCTGCTCGATAAATTCCAGGTGAGCTGCTTGGGGCTGATGAATGGGTTAAGCAATCTCTTATGCCTTCAGACTCAATGGGCATGATCCAGACAAAGTTAAGCACTGAAGTCCTGTTGGTTTCAGAAGGAGAGGAGATAAGCATAAACTTAGTTCTTCTGTTGAAATCAATGTGACTCTTGTACCATGTCAAACAACTTGGGTATTTCTTAATTAGGGTTTCTTAAACGTACTGCAGGTTAATTTGCTTTAACTGTTGCACTGTTGATATTAAGAAAACCAGACCAAATACTTGGGAACCTTGTCTTTATTTTCAGAACTGTTTTTTTTTTTAAAAAAAGAAATTGCCAGATTATCTATTTAAAAAGCCCACCATGTGCCCAAAACTTGTTTGAGTACAAAACTTGTTTAAATAGTACATTTCTCCTAATGTAGTGTAAAATTCCTGTTTTGTATTGGATATTTCACCACTAGGTTGCCGTAAATGGAAAACATTTGCTGCTCTACAAGCATAGGATTGACCTTGGAAAAATAGATACACTTGGAATATATGGAAAAGTGCAAGTTCAGATGATTGAATTTATTTCAAATAATGTAAGTTATTATCAGTTTTAGAATTACATTTCCGCATTCTTAATATTTTTTTTTTACCTGTTATAATGGACTGAATTCACAACTGTGAACAAAATGAGTCTGATAAACATCCAGAAGGAGAGGAAGATATTGCCTGGAGCAGTAACTTGCGCTTCCAGTGGGGAAGTGCCCAGTGACTCTGTTGTATCCCACAGCACACTGTCACAGTTTGAAACCGGTTAATGCAAGTTTGAAACCAGTTAATGCAAGTCAGAGAGAGATCCTCCTGTTGTTCACAAAGACACCCAAAGTTCAGTGTTGGGTTTTTAAAAAAGCAATTGGCTTTGAGAAAGTAATTTGACATCTCGTTTTTCTGTGTTAAATTAACAGATGAGAAAAGGCCAGTGCCTTTGCAATTTATTAGCCAGACCACTGTCCAGTTTATTTGACAACTATGCTTCATAAGTGTCCTTTAGCCCACAAAGAGACGTGGCTTCCACTCCCACTATCTCATCAGTGCGTTGCTGATGAGCCTGAGATTTTCATTCGAAAGCAAATGTAGAAACTCTCACTCTCCCAGGTAGCTTGTGAAATTTTAACTTGAGGATCATAGCTGTCCTGTGAATGTTCATCTCTCGACCTCTCTTTCCTCTGCAGTCTTTGCAAGGCTCTCAGCCATCTTTGCTAAAGGCAACCAACGGAAAGGCAGGAGATGTATGTATTTGCATTCTCTGTCTAGGTTCGCCGGTGGTGTTTGTCTCACAATCTAACTAAGCATTCCTTTTCTTTTCCACAGGAAAAAGTACTTGGAGGATCACAGTTTGTAAGTATATTTCTGAGGCTGCATTCAGACTTCGCAACTAACAAAAGGTTTTTCTGTAACAGGCGCGAACACAGCTCTTTGCCCTGTATGCATTCACATTAGCCTCACCCTGCCCCTTCTATCGCATACAGAGTGAGACCACGATCCGAGTTTTTGGGAAACGTTCAACTGAACTCCATTTTGCCGAGACAGTTTGTATCTCTCTCACAAACCTGGATTCCAAACTGGCATTAAAGTAGAGTTTGGAATCACGTTGTTTGGGGTTTGTTCCCCTCTGCAATCTCTCCAGGCACCTGTAAGATATTATGGCAACCTGGAACTTGATTTAAGGCTTCCCAAATTCGGGAGCCTTCAGTCGTGCTGTATGCACCATTGAGAGGTGGAAGAGAAGTGTGAGCTGCACTGAGATGTGTTCATTCCTGTCACAAACTGCATATTTGTTGTAATATCTGAAGGTAGCCACAATGTAAATCACATTACAAATGTAACACAAAAAGTATTAAGGGAATGCATGCTTCTAATGTTGTATGAACACAACGTACCCATACAGGACTGCTCAGTTTAATGCTTGCCTGCCTGCCTGCCTACTTATAAAGGGGGGAGGGGGAGAATATTAGTCTAAAGAATTCAGTGGATTTGCGGCTTGTCAGCCGTGTTCAGACTGGCCGCAGTGGTGCATAAGCATCTTTCCTCTTGTCGTTCTGTACAGCAGGGGCAGTCCTTCTTTATACTCACTAGAGCATGGGTTGTCAACTGCTTTGACAACTTGACATTATAAGCAGCTTAGTAAGATAACTCGTTACTGGCTAGTGTTTCCTGCCTTAGTATACAAAAGGTCGCTTCGAGTTCTATTTTTGAGAATCTCTTACACATGCTCAACGATTGCAGAGGAGCAGTGGCAATTTTGGTGACTATGAAATGTTAAAAGAGGTCCGAGATGTAGGTTTCCAAGTGCTGATATTTTCTCCTGGACTTCTATGTCTGACACTCTTGTTACAAGCGATGTGTGGGCCCTTGATGTAACAAAGCTGTTAGTCCCATCTATCTTGCACAGCTTTGGCTATTCTCATGGGCTGTGTGGAGCCCTGGAAGAGGAATGCACTTAAGGCAAGCGGGCGGGTATCTGATTTATAAGCAGACAAGTATTAGAACCCATCTGATGTTCAGTTGCCGGTGCCCTGTGACTGGAAATCTTAAAGGAAACAGCCCTTAGTGAAAAAGTCCGCACTTGCTGACAAATGTTTGATGCTTATGATCCTGCTGCTTGTGAGAACCAGTGCTGCTCCCAGTCCAGAGATTTTTGCTAACTGCACAGGATAACAGACACATGGATATTTAGATTTGCGTCCAGTAGCACTGACAAGATATCTGACAAAGGGAGCTCTGACTCTCGAAAACTCATACCCTGAACAACTTGTTGGTCTCCAAAGTGCTCCTGGACTCAAATCCAGCTCTTCTACTGCAGACCAGCACACGGCCACCCTCTGAAACCATCTACATGGATGTTTGGTAAATAAATTTATGTGCCCAAATAACGGCTTGATAAGGTACCCACTCATTTTCTCCTGTTTTCTGGGTTTCACACTAGGTTTAAGTTCTTTTTTAGCATCCAGTTGCGGAAAGGTACAGCCTCATGCACGATGGTGGAGACCAATCAGGGCTTCCAGCAGGGAACCACCAGTGTAACAGAGGCAAAAGCAGTTGTCGAGTAAAGTGTGAATTTTCTCTTAGCAAAGTATCTCATCAAGTATTGTTTCAAACCTAAGAAAATTAAAGAGTGCTCAGGAACAGGTAAAACTAGGAAGGGTTGTTCACAGTATTCCTGAACTTAACTTTAAATTCTCATGTGATTGGGAAAAAAGGGAATAAATAGTGAGGTGAGACTGAAGCTGGTAATTATCAAGAGTACGTACGTTCTCACAAAATTGCAGCCCACCCATTTGGAATAGGGTTAACTGAACTTAATTGCATTTTCAGGTAGTTCCTTATGTTGCACGACTTAATTCTGCAGTTGAGCCTGGGCGAACCATTGTCATTAAAGGAGAAGTTAATGAAAATCCAAATAGGTCAGTAAACTGGATTGCTGCTTGTCATTTCCATTAGACTGTGTAATGTAGTGCTGTTTTCTGTATCTCTGTGTATCCATAATACACTCTCAGTGAAATCCTAAGCAGAGTTACTCTCTTCTAAGTCCATTAAAATCAATGGGCATAGAAGGGTGTAAACTCTGCTTAGAATTGCACAATAAAACTTTTAAGCACCTTCCTGGTCATCAGCAGTTTAAGTGCATTAATGTTTGGTGAATGCTCTGCAGCTTGCTAACTGCTGAAGAGTAAGACTTGCAAGCAGTTTAGTTCTCCCAAGGGAAGAAAAGGGGCTCTTCAGTTAAGAACCTAATGAGTGGGGAAGGGAGGGCCTCTGCAGGCAGGCAGGAGCCTGAACTCCTGGAAACTAAATGAGCCTATGAAAGTAGGGAAGCAAAAAAAAAAATGCTATCAGAGATATGTTTTGAAGGATCGTAGAGAAGGAAAGAGACAAAGCTAGCAAGGGGGTTGAGAAACAGGGTTCTAATATAAAGAAAAGAAGCTGAAACCCATTAAAGCAAAGGTAATGAGAAGATGTACACAGGAACTGCCAATGTGAAAGGGATTCTGGGGGAAATCTTTCACAGGGCTTAATGATTTGGGGGGGGGGGGTACTTTGGGCAAGAAGGGAGTACAGTAGCCAGAGCTTTAGAAGGTGAAAAATAAGGGGCAGAGGACACAGCGGTAATAGAAATTTTGGGGCTGCATTTCATATTGATCAATCTAGCTATCTTTGGCTAAGAGTCTCCAGTTTTATTGTGTACACACACATTTAATCTCCTCTTATGATTGCATGTTTCTAACACAAGACCTTCCAAATCTGCATTCAGTACTGAGTATAGTCTTGTGGGTATATATGTGTCAATGTTGCTCTCCTGCCAGTTTTACATATGGAATTTCATAGGCTGAATTCTAGCTCATTCTGGTGAAAACGATTCAAAATGGTTCAGGGTTATGGATACTTTCAGAGCTCCATGATGCAGGGTCATATCATCTATGCACCATACTTTTGATACCATGAATAGTAGCAAATGATTGGGATGGGACTTACAGAAATTGTAATGTTACTGTGGATGTGATTTAAGATGTTGCCTGTGTCCTTCTGAAGTCAACAGTAAAACTTTCCCAAGATGAATTAATTGCCACCGTAACTAAGCCTTAAGCAGTCTTGCTGACCAATATTTTTCAAATACATTCATAGACGTTGTTTAAAAATTCACCTATAATTTTGAGCAATCAAATTCAGTTGACAATTTCTTACCAGGACTTCTGTGGCAGCTGATACTTGTAAACCTGATGGTGGTACTTGCTAATTTTCAGAAAACTTTCTGTCCACCCCATCTCCTTATTTCTCTTGCCCCTCCCCCCATTTGGCTGACTGATAGTTGTATTGCCATAAATTAACACTGATGTTTTATTTGCAGCTTTTCTATAAACCTTAAACCCAGCGACACATCAGATATTGCTCTGCATTTGAACCCCCGAATAAAAGCTAAAGTTTTTGTGAGGAATTCCTACCTGCATGACAGTTGGGGAGAAGAAGAGAGGAGCATCAATCACTTCCCTTTCTGCCCAGGAATGTATTTTGAGGTAACCAATTAAACAAGGCCAGCAATCTACACAATATATTTACTGCACATGATCATGCCAGTTCATACTTAAACTACGTAAGAACATAAGAGAAGCCAATGCTGGATCAGGCCAATGGCCCATCCAGTCCAACACTCTGCCACACAGTGGCCAAAAACACCAGGTGCCGTCAGGAGGTCCAGCAGTGGAGAATGTGTTATTATCTACTTATGGGAAAACTTGTGTAAGATCACACATTATACCCTTTCTAAACAGCACAGAAATAGGCACAAACCCTCTGCCAAGGTTCCTGGCCCCAGCAAGTAGTTGCAGAGCACAGCATTTGACAGGCAACCAGCACAGTAGAGGCGCATTCATGTGGTCCTTTTCAAGTTACAGGATACATCTTTCTAACTGTAAAGCAGCTGGCCCCATTATGACCACAAAAGCAAGAAAATTGGGTCGATTTCTCACTAGAGCTGCCTCGCAGTGCAGCGCCGTTTGCCCCAACACAAACATGTCAATTTCACACCCGGGGCTGCATTTGACCCGCAGCTTCATCCAATTTCCTCCGCAGTTTCATGATCCTCAAAAACCAGGATCACGAAACTGCGGAGGAAATCGGGCGAAGCCACGAGTTAAAATGCAGCCCCGGTGCTTCGGGTGTGAAATTGACATGTTTGTGTCGGGGCAAACAGCGGCTGTGCTGCGAGGCAGCTCTAGTGAGAAATCGCCCTTAGAACAGGCACAAAAGCTAGAGCCTTTTATGTGTTTTGGGGGACTCTGTGGGTATGCATGCAAATGACATCATAAATTGAAAACCCCCAGATGAGAACTGAATGGGCTTCACGTGATGTGGAATATTGAGAGTGAGTTAGGGGGAGTGGGGAGGACAAATTATCTGCTCAAGACCCTAACTGCTTACAGGATTCTAGAAGGAGGGGGGGCTCTTGTGGTTGAGGGATTTCGAAATTCCCCCCCCCCACACACAACTGTATAGACCCCCCAGTTTGTGACTTTACAGTAGAAGTTTTCTGTTTTAGTGACTCAAAGCAATGCTAATACAGAAAATACATAAGATTACTTATGGGTCCTGTTTCTGTGCATGTGTTTTAGTTAAATTAGCTGTTTGTACCATAGTGGTTAAAGATGTATACTGTTTATGGCAAATGGTACACTTCAACTTCTTGTTCTTGGCTGCAGTTTAACAGGGTCAGTTTCGGTCTTAATACACTGACCTACAAGATTCTGCTGTAAAACACAGAGGCTGGCATCCTACCCATGTGTTACTGCTCCATTGAACAAAGAGCCTCTTAAGTTGGAGGGTGGTTGGGTCTACCCCACTGTCTAATAGGCTTTCATTCTACTATACCCGTTTAAACCTGTGCCGGTAAAACACATTCAGAAACATTTGAGAATATGTTTTAACTGTAGTCTTTGTTCATTCCTACTTCCCTCTTTAGGTTAACTTATGGAATATTTTACAAAATAGTTTGATCAGCTTTGGGTGGGTTGTAAGCTTCCCCTCTACACCATATCCACAACTTGGATATGGCTGTTGTTTGACTAAGGGTACCAATCAATGTTTGCTTAACTTTCAGCTGATTATCTTCTGTGATGCTCTTCAGTACAAAGTTGCTGTGAATGGTGTGCATACCCTGGCGTACAAGCATAGGTTCAAACAACTTGACAAGATTCACATATTGGAAATCTGTGGGGATGTTCGACTGCTGGATGTCAGAAGCTGGTAGCCATGAAGCACATTCCGTTTGCACTGGGGAAAGTCTCTTTGTTTCTCTAACTGGGGAAGAAAGGGAACAGAAAGAACTTTGCTCCAAGGCACTGAGCATCACAAATCTGCTTATATCTCAGTAACCCCCCCCCCC